CATTCAAATGTCATAGTGATCAGTTGGGTTCTTCCTGAAAGAAAAATCTCGAGTTCAAATCCCTCACGTACACCTTTTTTTTTGAAAAATTAACAGAAAAAAGGTAAATGGGCCGACCCATGCAAGATCACTAGAGGTTGCCGGGGATGGGGGAGGGAGGGTGCGCCGATGCCTTTAGGAAATGCCCCATGTCTCGCCCGTACTTGGCGAACGACTACGGGTCGGCCCATTAGCTACGTCGCTTGCTTAACTCGCACCGCGTCCGGTCGCTACGCCGATTCGGTCCGGCTTTTTTTGTTTGTTTTATGTTTGTCGCCGGGGAGCGCATAGTGGCGAAAATGGTGAGGAGGCATTGGGGCATTGGTGGTGGAGACCAGGGTGGAACCTTGATAGTCGAGAGTAGCAGAGATTCACCTATATTATGAATGGAAATAATATTAGATTAGGATGGTAGTAATTTTACATTAACTACTATGCTCTTAATTTTGTTATATATTAAAAAGGATTCCATATCAAATATATCGATTTTGGTCTACTATAAAAGCACTGATTTATATCGAAATTTGGATGCAAAGACTTGTCATACCTGTCGAGCTCGACAGTTATGTCTAGGCTAGCACAATTATTGACACTGCACTTATATACTTTCCTACAGCTTGGCCCTTAAACCCCACTTGTCCATTGAGAGGTTGTGTAACTCGTCTTGTCTTCAGTTCAACTGCGCAAGGAAATAGAAGATCGCGGCTTCCCTTTGGCGCGCGGGGGGATCGAGCGGCGGGCATCTGCGCGAAGAATGGCGGTATGCTTCTTTCTCCTTCCTCTTGTCCAGTGATTTTCCTATAGAAATTATTATGGCACTGAAGTATCATTAGGAAGCTCTCCTACAACCTCCATTCAGATGCGGAGGAGCCTCTCATCATTGTTTGTTATTGTTGGCTTGTAAGTCTGTGATCGATTCAGTTTTTCATAGGGTTTTTGTTGGTATCTTCAACAGAGACCCCTTCATCATTGCATTGTGTTGTTGTAAAGATTGCGGGCCAAGAACCCCTCTGCCGCCTCAGCATATCCCTGACACCGCCCTCATAATTCTTCAATTATATTGGCTATGAACCCTAGCCAGATCCACGTCATCGTCGGTCACTACCCCGACGGGCAGTCTTCGTCAGACATCAACCGACGCTTGATCTCCTCAAGCATTATGCTTTCTTCGAGGGTCATTTCTTGGCAGCGTGGAGTTTGGGGCGTCAAGAATTGGGATTCCAATCGGACTTGGCGTTGCGTTGGCTGTCTGGTTAACTCTTCAATATGTTTCTCTAAAATAAGGGATTCTTTCTTTTGTTTTCCATAGCGATGCCAAGGAGATTACTTGCCCTTGTCCGCATTTTCTCACGTTGAGCATGCATCAGGATGACACCAAATAAGATCAGTCGCTTTCCCAAAGTGAGAAGTCCACTTTCATCCCTAAACTATTTGGTTTGTCTAAGATTAACCCCCAGCTATAAAACCGACTAAGATTCAACCCCCAACTTCTCAAACCGTTCAGGATCCAACCCCTGCCCTTGGCCTGGTGCTAGTTTCCGATGAGTCTGATGGGTTTGACCATGTTGACCATCTAGTTAGCATGTCATGTTAGCCTAGTCATGTAAAAAAATATGATATAAAGACACAACTAGTCAAGAGATCGATGATCTACGGACACAAATTATTAAAAAAATAAAAATATGAAAGAAAAGCATGACTCCAAAAAGTCATGCCAAAGTGACGGTAGCAAAGGATCAACATGCAACAACACCAACTACCGCCTCTGGCACCATAGGAACTGAAGAGAGGTTCTTCGACGGTGGTGCCTCTGGAAAGGGAACTACACCTCATGTCGACATTGTTAGATCCAATCATTGAATGTCAGATTCAGGGTTTTCACCCCAAAGATCAAGTCCGAGCAAACTGTAATTAATGCCTTGAAGAAGGGAATGTCGTGTAAACACGCCATTTTCAAGTACAACCAACTAACATGCCGATGGCATATGGCAGGTTTATAAGCATGGTTGTCCCATGTAGATTGGATTGGAATTTTTTTTGGAATCAACATTCATGGTGGGTACATGTCGATTTGGGTCATGGTCTTGTGCAGTTATTGTCATCTTTCCTGGTCAAATGTGCTTAATTAGAGTAAGCATGACAATGTTGCTAGTCACCTCGGCTCTCATGTACTGGACTTGGAATTACGAGAATGCCTTTTTGTTTCCCTCTCACTCGCTCGATTTCATGTAAATTGCGAATTCTATGGATGATTTATAATATTTCTAAGAGTTAATCTCCCTTTTTAACACATACTACTAAAAGTAATACATACCGATGAACTGAGTAAAAATCATAATAATTAACATGATGTAATGTTTTTTTTTATTTTTCTTTGTTGAGATTAAAAATGTCGAATAATAGCCTCTTTGCTCCCACCAATTGTCCTGGAATGCATGCTGAGTTGGTAGGATTGCTTGCGCTTGTGACGTCCTCTTCTTTAACATATTCTTCGATAGAGCTAGCATGGCACTATTGTTGCTTCGGCTCTTACTTGCTTGATTTGACATGTGGAATGCCACATATTATGTGCCCTCTCACCTTCTCAATTTGACATATATTGTGTGATTGACATCAAATCTGTAGCTTTCTAATGGTTCAACTTTCTTGCTCGAGGGTTGACCATCTTCGGGCTACCCTCTCAAAGTTGTTGGGGGAAATAGTTCGCTTTCAACACTAAACATCACATCATCCTATCCTAAATGCCTATTTGTCCCAATACCCTGGCCAAGAGACCACTCGAGAATCCGCACGCTAGACAAGAGGGGGCATTTCATTTGTACGTGCTCTTGACAGCTAGTTTCCAAAGCACACTCATGTGCCGCCAATAGCTATGCGGCATTAGTTATATTATTACCAAGAGAAACATGTTTGTCGAGCCAAGAGAACATTCGGCTATTATTGTACGGGTAGGATAGGACTTTTCAGCTCCACTCACTCTGAACAACTGAGTTCCATAGCATCCTCATGTACCGCACACGGCTACATGGCATGAGTTACATCACTACCGAGGATAACACATCTATGTAGCAAGTGACATGAACGCACCCAAGACAAATCAAACACCAAATAGTATACTTTTCTCTCTCTTTCTGACATTAATTGCTTTGCTTGTATTCTTTCCTCCATATGGCTCGTGGAATTGGCCAGAAAGCAAGACTTCACATAATTAGTTGCCATGCATGTTCATCATCTTAGACACATCTTACCAATGACGCTGACCATAATGACTTTGTTATCACATTACCATGTGTGGGTGGTAACATATGAGAAAGTGTGTTATGGTTATTTTTAGGTAGCATCGCATTTTGCTCGCACACAATAGAAAATACAATGGAGGGCCAAGCATGCATGTGTAGTAGGATGTCCTATGCTAATCTTCGAGTCACTAAAGTGTGGAACTACGAAGAACAAAAACATGTCACTTGATATGTAAGTGCTCTGCATGGGAAAATATAAAAAGGAAAGAGAACAAGTTTGCGATTGTCATGTCCAATTATGTAAGTGAGTCAAATAATATGGCCCATAGTGAACTTAGGTGTAGTTACGTTGATCTTACGGTTATGCTTTGTTGATTGAAAGATGATCCACTAGATTAATGACTAGATGTTTTGGTTTCTTTGGGAATGGCTTTGTTTTCTCTTGTTAATTAACCTATCATGTACTTTTAACATATAATGGATTCTAAATTTTTGTATGGTGTTCATGATGAGACATTGGCACTCCTGTGACCAAACAATTCAATTAGCATGTTGATACTCTTCAATAAGTCTATGTTGTTAATTTATGTTACAATGATCCACCTATATGGTCCAAAACTCTTACTTCTCTCGCACTCCACCTCGTGCATTTGAGCTATTGATTTGGACTTCAGACTACCCTTTCTAATCCATTTGATACAATCATCACCAAGTTGATAATGGACAAAGCTGGTCAATCCGATCAGCCTTTTAGATTTACCAACCTGATCACTCTCTTTCCATAAATAGCCCCATTATGTATAACTGATTCTACTGTCTAGTGAACTATTATAATCTGAAAGCTAGCATACTTTAGTTAAATAGGAATCCCCGTTACTTGAAATTAGACAACTTATAATTGTACTCATGTATATTTTTTGGGCATTATCTTATGGCCGTGTTGTGACAGTGCCGATGGGAGTTTGTTCACTAAAAAAAGTGGTCTTTCCTTCTAGCTTTTGGGAGTGTTCTACACACTAAAATTGAATTTCTTTACTAATTTCATACTAGAGATGTCAATTGTGTTATCTTGTTGTTGTGATTGTGTAGGATATATAGAATTATTGTTCTTCTCCTCAATGGCTTTTTTCTTGGTATGCTTTAATTATTCATTGGGGTGTGCTTAACTCATCTCACAGGGATGGACAAGCGATAGCGATGATAGTGATAAGTTTGAGTGGAAAATTTATGGTGAGGCTGAACCATCATGGGCTCCGGCCTTGAGGAATATAGATGCTCCAGGCCCATCCACACTTGTGCATGAGGTAGTAAATAATTGTGTACCCAATTATAAGAACTAGCCATGACTTGCTATTATTAGTGTGATCTTTTTTATGCAACTATCTAAAGGGTTCTAATCGGTGGGCCAATGAGGAAACATCATCTATTTATTTAATCAAGGCATATGTGAGAATGGGTTTCCCAAAAAAGATGGTTGTGAAGGGCATCAAGGAGATTGGTAATACTAGAAAACACTGATTCATTCCATTTGTCTTGTTATGTTTGCACCTTGTGTCTAACCAAGACTTTTGATTTTGCTTTCAGGGCATAGTGATGGAAATGCATTGCTCGAGCTACTTCTCACATATAAGGTATTTTACTTTGTGCGTTATTACTAACTTTATCACATGATGCTCTTGCTTCATGGTAGCAAGGATCAAATGTTAGGATCGGTGATGTCTAATGCAGGCACTTGAAGATGATGATGATCTTGATTTTGAGAATTCGGATGGCGATGACGACACTGGTGATACAGAGACCGACTCTAATGGTTCTAGTGACGAGGTCGATAATTCCTTTTCTGTAGTTTAGTAGTTGAGAATTCTTTAACCATATGTATGCTAATAAATGTGAAATCTTTAACATGCATACTTTGAGCACCCCCTGTACGTACTGTTTTAGCATTGTTTGTTTTGCTTCTAGCGTTTCATTGGTGTATAATTGCATTGTGAAGTTTGAGCACCCATTTTTTTTACATAGAATTATTATCATGTTTAAGTTTTATCGTGTAAGACTGATCATAGGAAGTAAGCTTGAATACCATTAGGACAATATGTCTCCCACAAAGTAATCAAACGAACCTAAAAGGAGTAGAAACTAAATGTATTATTGGGTTGCTTGTTTGTCATTTTGATGAATTAGAACATTTATTTCTGTTAGACACCACTCCTTTTCTCATTAGTTCCTATACATTTGAATGTTAGTTACAAGACATATGATTTGTGGAGTTATGATGCTACAAGCAAATACTATTACATGTGTTGTAACCTGTAACCAAGAGATGATATACACATACTACAAGAACTTTAACCAACAGAAATCCCAAATTATGCATCACTTATTCTCTTTGATTTATTTTCTAGTCCATGATATAGTACACAATAGGACTTAGCTAAAAAGAGTTCATGAGAGATAGAAGCTAAGCTTGAAGACCGAGTTCTAAAGAAAGAAGCAAGAATATAGTTGGACCTAAATAATTCTATCATGTGTTGGAGTAAAGTTTGTGCTGCGACCCAGCTCACCACATTTCCATTGAATCTAAGGAGGCTTGGAAACTAGCATGTAGGTTGGTAAGAACATGGTCTTAAAGAATTAAACCACATTGTTCAACATTCTTATTTTGACTTTCAGTTACGCAAAATGAACATAATACCAGAAACGTTTATTACATATCGCATTAGTAGCATCAAACTTTCCCTCCATAAATAGCCTCAAGAAGAGTGGGAAATGCATATATGATGTTACTAATTTATGTTGTGATAGCTGAATTTCCTATTAGTTATGCAAATAAACTTTGCGAAGAGAATATCCTATTGTTCACTCTTATTCATGGCTAGATATATGTAATGCCTAAAAAACGGTAGAGAGTGTTTATTTTCTTTTACACATATACACCTGCTCAGCAAAAAAGATATTTCTTTATTGCTAGCAGGTGATGAACCTGAAATAGGGTGGATGGGAAATGTCGCAATGTCCTCCTGAAGACGTACACATGCATTTGCCTCATCATCCATCCGTTTTTTTTCTTTCTATCACGAAAGCAACATGAAGAGACCAGATGAATGTGTTTTACCACTATTATGCATCCTGCACAGAGTGCCATTATATGAAAAAACAAAGTTAGACATGTACCTTCACTTTATTCCAGTCCATCACAACTAGTAATATAGGTAGTTGTTTCAAGCATAAATTGGGAAGCATTTGTTAATGCATATAGTAACTCTCGTAGTGAAGTCATCCTCAAATAGTATCAAAGAATAAGAAGTTGAGTCCTAAATTATTTCATTGATCTAGTTCTCGGTTAGTTTTCTATTTCTTGTTTCTTAGGTAGTCTGGGCTATTCATTTCTTGATCACTCATTAGTTGCAGGGCCCCCTCCTTTTCTCCGTCCCTATATGTGTCACCATGTAATCGTATTTCCCTATTAGCAGTCACTTATTTGGCATTAAGAAGTCAGTAAAATATAGCATGTTTTTTCTAATCTTAGTTTTTGTTGTACTTTTGTGTAGTTTCTACGGGAGATGTCAGAGAAGGACGAGAAGATCAAATCATTAGTAGACATGGGCTTTTCTGAAGATGAAGCAAATATGGCTATTACAAGATGTGGTATGACTCTTTTTGAAACGGTTGCCTTGGCTGTCATTTTTTCAAGAAAAGGCATCTTATGCTATATATTTCTGTTTAAATTTCCTAGGTGATGTTGATCTATGGGAATTAGTTGATTCGATAAGTGCATCACGAATTACAAAAGATAGTCATTCCAGAAACTTATCTGACCATCAGGTACCTATTGGTTTGCTGTCATTTGTATATGAAAATACTCACACTCTTCTAATTTGATTTAACAACACTGCAATATCTGTAAATTTGGCAGATCACAGATCGGTGCTTCGATTCATTTGGAGGGAGAAAGAAAGCAAGATTGATGGAAGAGAGCAAGAAAAAGAGGAACCGGTATGGAGGTAGAGCACAGGGAAATCAACCCTCCTTGGATGGTAGCCATGATGAACCAATGCCTCTCCCAAATCCAATGGTTGGGTTTAATTTGCCAGGTTATTTGCAACCATCAGTTACCAGAATACTTCCTAAACAAGATACTGGACCACCCTTTTTCTACTACGAAAATGTTGCCCAAGCTCCCAAAGGCGTATGGGCAACCATTTCAAGATTTCTTTATGACATTCAACCTGAGTTTGTGGATTCTAAGCATTTGTGTGCAACCGCAAGGAAAAGAGGCTACATCCATAATCTGCCAATTGAGAATAGATCACCTCTTCTTCCTATGCCTCCAAAGACCATATTTGAGGCATTTCCTCATTACAAGAAGTGGTGGCCTTCATGGGACCTGAGAACACAGCTCAATTGCTTGCGAACAAATGTCGCAAGTGCGAAGCTGACAGAACGGATCGGGCGTGCTCTTGCAAGCTCGGACAGTCCACCGGCTCGAAGTGTTCAAAAATATGTCATGAATGAGTGTAGAAAAGGGAATCTTGTCTGGATTGGAAAGAACAAGGTTGCTCCATTGGAGCCTGAAGAGATGGAATATCTACTCGGTTTCCCAAAGGATCACACAAGGGGACTCGGCATCACGGAGAGATACAAGTCTCTCGGCAACACATTTCAAGTTGATACAGTTGCTTACCACTTGTCAGTTTTGAAGGTCATGTTTCCCAATGGTGTTAATGTGTTGTCCCTATTCACCGGTATTGGAGGAGGAGAGGTAGCTTTGCACAGGCTGGGCATCCACATGAAGGCGGTGGTTTCTGTAGAGATACGAAAAGCTAATAAGAGGATTTTTAGGGGTTGGTGGGATCAGACTCAGACAGGCACGCTCATTGAGATTGATGACGTAAAATCTCTGACTGATGATAGAATTGTATCATTTGTTAGTAGATTTGGCGGCTTCGACTTGGTAATTGGGGGCAGCCCATGTAACAATCTTGCCGGGTGCAACAGATACAACCGTGATGGGTTGGAGGGCGAGCAGTCTGCTTTGTTCTACCACTACTTCAGAATCTTGAACGCGGTCAAGTCAGCTATGGCGAGGATGTAGCCTAATTATTATAGCACCTATTTTATCCTTAAATAATTATATCTAGGAACCGCAACTTATCAGTGTATGAGCATTGAGTTGATGTTGTTTTCAAGACCAGAATTTGGTGGTTTGTGTAGATGACGAGACTTCTTTTGTTTAGCTTCTTCATATAATTTCCCTATATACTACAACATCATATCTTTTTTTGCAGTCAACCTGTAGACAAACGGGACATTTAATTTTCTATTTTTGAGCGCATCTTTCCTCTAGTAAATATTTTGATACAGTAGATACTGTACATATTGCACAGGAGAGAACTGGAGGAGTGGCTGGCACATGCACACAAATAGAAAGACACTGTTCATACGGGAATGCAGAAGACCTAGATAAAAATTCATAGATAGTCCTCTCTGTCCCTTTTCTAGGTAGTTTTTTCATTTTTCATACCAAGTTTCCTAAGCTGAAACGAAGAAAAGATCATTTCTAGTTCTTAGACCGTACTGATCCATTAAGCCCATAGAATTGTGAGAGTCACTACTTGGACAACTTACATGGCTTGGTTTCTGTAGATTTTGGATCTTGAGGTAGAACATGGCACAGACTATATTATCTCTCTCTCGGAGGGGTGTGGTAATGTGCTAGACGTTGCATCTGAACATAATCTTGCTAACTAACAGAGTCGAGTTTCTGTTGTTGCTATCATTCTTGGAGACTGCATCCAGAGAGGAAGTGGAGGATTTAAGACGAGTAAATTCAGGCTTTCCTATTTTTACTATTATGTTCTACATTTGTTTTCTCTTTCAGTTGTATTTTGAATCACTCAGAAAAAAATCAGGTTAATAAAGATCGTGTAGTGGCGGTGAAAGATACCTTGATTGCCTCCAAAATCACCACAGATCCACAGTAAATAGAACTGAAACCTGCATTACTGTTCCTCTTCGTTGGAAGCCTCCTTATCCTCGTTACTTTGACCCCTGAAGCTTTGGCTCGCCATGGTGCATTGGACCTTCCCGTGAGTCTGAATATGAGTCATGTCATCTTGGAACTCAACGAAGGATAGATCAAGTATTACGCCTATTCTCCAGCAAATGGATGAGGATATTAGCTAGGGGCGTCCCATTTCTGGGTTCTTTCCTATTCATGTAAATAGAGTGCAAATTTGGCAGCTCTTATTACTGCAAAAGTTGCTTCCCAAACTGATCCCGGAAAGACTGGCCTCTTTTATCTAACATGACTGTGACCATGCTGATTCTATGATATAAGCTCATTGCTCTAAAATAACAAAATCCCGGGCTGCTGCTACTTCTGCTGGGAACCATGACGCGCGCTACGGTCCAAGCATCAGTGTGCCACGGGCTCACTGCAACAGGCCATCGTCTCACGCAATCGGGACGCACTAAGTTCTTTGTAGTACAAAGAGTTTAGATGTTACTCGCTCCGTCCGAAAAAGCTTGTCCCAAGCTTGTCCTTCAAATGGATGTATCTAGCACCAAACTAGTGTTAGATACATCCATTTGAGGGACAAGTTTTTCCGGATGGAGGGAGTAATTGCTAAGCCTTTACATGGCTGGATGAGTGATGAAAAGGAGGTCGTCATAACAAGGAGAACAATTTTGGGAATGGAGTTTGAACTGATAAGAATAGCTTCAATAATGTTAATACTGTTGTGACATGAATAGAATAGAGGGGATATCTCAGAATGTAGTATGATCAATCAATTTAAAAGTGTCATTCCCATTAATTGTAGAAGAATGTGTAAATATCAGTTGGAAATCTTCCCAGCCGCGAGTCACAGCTCGAAACAAATTTCAAGCTACAAGATTCAGTTGAAAACATGTTTGGAGTAGTTGAAGTATAAATGCATAGCATACCTTTCCCTATCAGCTTGAGCTTTTGAGTGAACTGACTGATACGTGCAGCTTTTACATGGTATCATAAAAATTGCAGCCCACTCGGTCCATGTTTAGGTTTGAGGAAGCCACACGTGAGGGGGAGTGTTTAAATATAAATGCATAGCCTTAAGGTTGAGCTTTTGGGTGAACTGACTGGTACGTACAGTTCTGCAGCAGTGACAAGTGAGGGATACTAGCAGGCAGAGTGATGCATTAACATGCTATAAGACTTAATTAAAACCTACGAACCGAAACTGCATGCCTTCATTGATTTCTATGATATTTTCGACAACTTATCATATAACACGCTATAGCATTTAGAAGAGGCCTCCTGCTAAGATCTTTAGCATGCTATTTAAAAATAGAGCTCTTTTACGGTGATTGGCAAGTTACGACTCGTAATTTCGTGTAACTCCGCCTCTGTTTTTTTCTAACCGTCGGATTTAAGAAATGATTTAAAGAGTTTTTTTGTGTGAAAAGGATAGAGTTGTAAATTAGCAGGTCAATCTAGTCGCTAGTCAATCCCTGGTACAGCCTTCGTCGTTGTTAGGCTCCTCAATCCCCTCGCACAGGCGCCGCCGCCAACCCTGCCCTCGATCGTGGCGCCGCCGGCGTCCCTCCTGTCGCTCGTGCCGCCGCCGTCGCCGACCCGCGCACAGCCGCAGCCGTCTGCTCTCCTCTGCTGCCCCAGCGCCCCGAGCATCGCCCCGTCGAATAGGCGCTCCCCACGGCAGCGCCTCCTCCCTGGATCAGCCACTGACGGCCATCAACGCCCGTGACCCAATCCATAGGAAGGTAACCCCGGGGCTTAATCTTCCGCCGCCGCCGCCGCCGCCGAGGACGGCCCTGTTTTTTCATGTACATCCTCTGACCCCGTTATCTATAACCGTAGATTCTCGCCCAGGACGAGTATCCCTCCCAGCCCCCTGCACCGCCGTCTGCCTCTGACGATTCCACACGCGTGTAGGCGACAATGGAACAAATTTAGACATTCAAAGATATTCATCCGTCAGAATATTCAGGTTCTGTACTTCTGTATTTCATGCCATTCTTTCTTTGTTCTCTCTTTTGCATTGCATGTGCACAGTAAACCACATAGTCATCCATCACTGAATGTCTGCATTTGTTCCATTCAGACATTCAAAGTCACATTCCGCACGCGTGTAGGTGTAGGTGATAGTGGAACCGGCCTGATCGCTTTGCAGTTTCTGAATTTGTTTGCTATGTTCTGAAATCACTTATATAAAAATCAACAAGTTTCTGAATTAATGATCTAAAAATCATCTAGTTTCTGAAAATCAACAAGTCAATAATGCTGATCGATGGTCCAAACACCTCCAAGTGTCCAAGTAGATATCACACCCATTGCGGTTTTGGTAAGATTAGATTCAGTTTACGGTAGTTATAAAGCAGATGTCACACCCATTGCAGATGTATTTGTCACGTCTAGTAGATTGAGTGGTTTTGTTATTTGTGATTAGATTTCTTCTGTGATTTACTATTACCGTGAACCGATGTATTCGTAGCCAGTGAGTTGTAATTGCAGATGTCATGCCTAGGTGTTGTGTTCTCACATTTCTGGAGGTTGCATTGCATATATGTGGAGTATTAATTCAGCAGTTAAAATATGCACATATTTGGAGTGAGATTGCCATATGTAGTTCAGAACTGACCTAGCATGCTTAATTTACACAGCATCTAAATCATGAGCTTAAGAAGCTGCTGTTTTGGAGTTGTGTGCCGCAATATGAGTAGTACATTTGTGAACCTGCTATGTAATGTTCAGATTCCAGCAAGGAAATTTGTGTGCCGCTATCCTGAACCTCCTCTGCTTTCTCTAAAACAGGTTTGCCATGTGAAGAAAAAGGATATGTGGGAGCTTTTGGATGGACAAAGGCTCCAGCAATGAAGAGAAGAGAGCTGCATTCCCTACTTGCAATTCTAGTAACTATCTTTGTTATAACTTGTAGAGTGTACCCGCAAAAAAACTTGTAGAGTGTGATGGATTAATTGGGATGCTATGTAATCAGAGTACGTACCCTATCATATGTATCATGACTAATTGCGACCAAGGTCTACATTCTGTGAAGAAGACTCCCATTTATATGTTTATTAGTGATACTTTGTTGCGCTTGCTCTACTACTTCTGTACATTATTTGTGGAATTGGTCTTATGTAGCACTATTTCAACTGGAGTTGGTCGAGTCCTTCTCATTTTTCAAATGTTGTGTCTTATCCTAAGCTTGTTGATAGGTGATCATTTCAGTACTGGCTTGTCATGTACTGACCCTGAACTCTGAAACTGATTCAACCAATGTGCTATCTTGATTGGTTATACCCAGGTACATGTACAGATATATGATGGAAAATATGCATTTTGACAAATTGCACCAATTTTTTAAGCAAATACTCTTTGCCTGTCTCGTGAAATGTGCCTGTGCAAATTTGCATCAATCCAAAATGTAGTGACATTCTTATTACAACTGGTCATTTAATTGACGTTATGAACATAAAACTGGTTTGGACTAGTGCAGCATATGCAATACAAAAATAGTAAAAGCCATAATTAAGTACGCGTGCATTAAAGGAACCTTTCATCTAAAAAATGAGCAACAACTCAAAGTTGAAAGCCTATTATTGTAAACATAGTCTCACAATTGTCTCTTCAATGAAGTGATTGTTGGTTCGAAAATAATGTAAACACTACTTGGGACAATAATTCAGCTCTAAAGCTTGAAATTGTAGAAAAACCAAAAGCCTACTGAAGAGGCTCGTCACTGCTGCCGAATTGTTATCTGCAAGTTTCTTCCTTTTGGGCGATGACCCATATTCTCCCAAGTCCCTCTCGCCGATATCCATGTACCCACATGCATATATGTCTTCTTTGGACATGCATATATGTCTTCTTCGGACATGTCCTGCCCAGAAGCATACGAAAGGTATTTAGATCATCATGCAAATGATGTGTCGCATGGTAATGCACTTGTAGCAACACGTGCAAAGAGGGTAACAAATTCACATAAGGCAGCCATTCTTCCAAATTGAGCCAATTCTGGTTTTCGAAGAAATACTATACATAATTACTGTCCATTCTATACGGCGCCATACACTGCCTAAATAGACAGA